CTGAGGCAGGAGGATCACTGAGTTTGAGGCAAGCATGGGCTACACTGTGAGTTCAAGGCCACCTAAACTGTTTAGAGAGGCTCTGTCTCAAAAAATTAAATTAAATTACGATTTTAAAAGCAGTAGCACACACCTATATTGCTAGCACTCAGGGAGGCTGAGGCAGGAGGATCCTGCACTACCACTGCAAGATCTTGTCTCATAAAAAAAAAAAAAAATCCAGCCAGTTAGAATGGGCCTCAGTGCAGTCACCAAAATGCTGGGATACAAAGCAGCAGATGCCGATTCACAAACTAACAGGTACCAGGTGGGTGGTAAATTTAACAGAGGGTGACCGGGTGTAAGAAAGTACAGTGAATTAGAGAACAGACACTTGGCCTTACATGAAAGCAACAGTAAAAAGGGGTGAGGACTTCAGCAATCTGGAGTCAACAGGCCTGTCCCTGAGTGGGCAGCCTCCGCTGGGCCCAACACGCTCTGGTCATCTGATTTTCTGAAATCCAAAATCCAGACATTTCTGTAAATACTGGAGCTGGAGGGCTCTAAGTCACCTCCAACAGGTGACATTTCAACCTGAACACCTCTTGGGAAACTTCTAGGAGGTTTGCAAGGCATCCCAGAACTTTAGGTCATCCATGCATTCATTCAACAAGTGTTTACTGAGTACCAGGTACTCTCCTAGTTGATGAGATTACAGCTGCAAATAGGCAAAATTCCTGTCCCTGCAGAGCTGATCTTTTGGTGGAAATTTAGGGAGTAAGCACTATAAATAAGTGGGATACTAAATATCTAAGGAAGCAGTAAGAGCTATGGGGTGTGACGTGGAGAATTGTGCATGCAGGGGGTCACAGAAAGCTGCCTGAGGTGACAGCCCATCAAGATATGAAGGTGAGACAACACTCCAAGTAGTAGAAGCAGCAAGTGCAAAGGCCCTGAGGCAGGAGCAGGCCTGGCAGTAGGGTGGCTGGAGTGGAGGGAGACATCAAGCAGCAAGAGATCAGGTCTGAGAGGAAATGGGGCCAGACCAGAGGCCACTGTAAGCCCTCTGGCTTGTACCCTGAGGAAAACTGGGAGTAGCTCCCTGGTTCTAAGCAGAACAGGGACAGGATCTCATGTGTATCTTAACAGGTTCCCTCTGGCAGCTGAACTGAAACCAAGCTGCCAGGGTCTGGTGGAGTTAGGACAGCACTGGCAAGTGAGCACTCCAATCCAGGAACTAGCCAGGGAGGCTGTGGGAAGCAGGCAAACTCAGATACATTTTGAAGGACCAGGCAACAGGATTTGCTGATGGCTCTGATATGGGATAGGAAGGGGAAGGCAGCAAGGTCACCACAGCCTTTGTCCTCTGTGAGACAGCACTGCCTGCCTGAGGCAGGAGGGCTGGGGGAGTCCAAGCTCCTCTGGGACTTGCTAAGGGGGAGGCCCGCTGAGCCACGAGGGGCAGAGATCTGCTCCCCAGGTTTAGTCCACAGTGGATATTCATTTTGTCCCCCACCACCATGTTCTAAAACCAGGCACCTCCAAAACCATCACAAAGATGCCAGTCCAGCAGTTTGGGACTTGACCAGGCTTGAGAGCCTCAGCCAGACCAGCCTGCTAGTGTGTGGCGCCTTTTGCAAGGCCTAACTGGCTCAAGCCCGGGCTGTTGTCTCTAAGCCCTGCCCCGAGGATCCTCCTCCAAAGACCTCAGGCCCCATCCAGCCACCTCTGGCCCTCAGGTTCAACCCAAGGAGGTGGGCTGCGATTAACACTATTCATTTATAGGGGCTATGTTATCCCACATGTGGACACTGAGGCTGCAGAGGCAAAGTAACTCCCCTGAGCTGCAGGGCCAGATTTGAACCCAAGGAATAGAGCACCTGCTCTGCACAGCTACACTCTCCTGCTGAGTTGTCTTCTTAGACTCTCATTTGCCGACTTTTCTATACGGAGCATGAAACATTATTACTACATATTTTTTAAAAAACTGACTTGCAGAGGGAGCCCCAGACCCATTTTTCTGACCATCATTCAAACATCAGCCACAAAAAGTGCCTCTCCTACCAGCTCCAGACCCTCCACCACCCACCTATGGAGGAAGACAGCCAAGAACCAGGAACTCAGCCCCTATTTTGCATTTAGGTAACAAAGCTCCTCTTTTCTACTCCCACTGCATCTGCCTAGGGGAAGGCGGCAAGTCAAGACCTTATCCCCAAGGCCTTTCCCCACTGGTTTTCCTGGGACCCAGAGGCAGACACCCCCCAGGAACAAGGCTCCAGAGCAGGTGCGGGGGAACCTACAGCACTCGGGCTGCAGCCAGTGGTTTGTTACCACTGAAAGCACTAAAAGGTTCGCCATTGCTGCTCCAGAGGGTCACACCTGGGCCTGCAACCTTGATTTCTAAATGCAAAGTCTTGGGTGCAAGAGGAACCAATCAGGAGTAGGAGTAGCTAAATGGACTGCACAGCCCAAACCCAACCCCAGCAACAACAGAAAAACTGAGTCCAGAGAAGGAAAGGGAAACAGAAAATTTCATCTTTGGAAAGAACAAAATAATGACCGCTGGTGATCTCTGTGCCAGGCACAGGCTGAGCCGCTCCCTGATTCACAACTCCAGGAGGTTAGGACAGCGTAGCTCCTGTCCGCATTTTACAGATGAGGGCAAAGAAGCATGGGGAGGAGGCACGGCTTGCTCAGGGTCACACAGTCACCAGACAGGCTGAGAGACCGGTCCCTCCCGGCCCAGAGCCACAAGCAATGAGCTACACTTGCCTTCTCCCGTGCCCCAGCTGCCCATTCACAAATTCTGGTCTCAGGGCACCTCCAAAAACTGGGGCATCCAGAGGAATCCAGAGGGAGGAGAGGTAGAAGAATCCTACAAGGCCACAACTGAGGGAGGCGCGGGGACCTGCCCAAGGTAAAGGCTAACCACCAAGCACAGCTCGGGCATCTGACAAATGTGGCGGCAGAGGGCCTTGGAAGAGAAAACACACAACCTATGTCAGGGGTGGACTGTTTAGCTAAACCAAGAGGAGAAAGGATGCCTTAAAATGTTAACTCACCTGCCATCCCCTCCAGGTGCCATCAGCGAAATACATCCTGATACAAAATCTAACTTCTGGTCACTTACACTTTCCCTGCCTTAATTTAGGAGAAGAAAATAAACAAGGAACTACTCCGGAATTCATGAAGCCCTAAGCCAGATCCTCACGTGGACCCCTCCAGAAATAATCCTGCTGTTGGTAAACCAGGTACAGGGCTCAGGGGACCAGCAGAAATTTCTAAGTCCAACTGGCACTGGGTTCCAGTCTCTCTCAGACCATGAATACACACTACCTGTGCTATTTTAAGCCCCGGGGTTAATCTCTAACTGCGCTGGCTTGAAAGTGAGAGCCCCAAAGTGTGTTGTTGGGTTGTTCCACCAAAACGATGCTCCCTAAACAAGAAAGCCTGCCACCAAGGGCCCTTGAAAACAACTTTTCAACACTCAGGAAAGGACTGTACCAGAGGACAAGAAGGTATTTCTGGATGCTAGCTGATCAGCTCCTCAATACCCAGGGTGTTTTTCCTGTTTCCTAAATGAAAAGCAAAACAACTGTGTCCAGATTTGCCCGCCGTATTTACCAATAATCACAACAGCGTGACACAGAAGGGGCCTCCTACACGAAGGGGCAAATCGCATTACCGTGACATTGGGGATTAGAGCACAGAAAATAAACTCTGAAGGCCTCCCTGGCCTGAGCACGCCACATTTCAGAAAACCCCAGGGCAGTCAGTGCCAGAGAAGCCTCACCACCTTCCCGGGGAGGTCCAGCCACAGGTAACAGGCTGCCCTCGAAGGTCAGATGAAATAGTCCTGGCCATCCCTACTGCTCTGGCTCCCCCCACCCCAGGCCACACGCAGCATTTAGGAGAGAGGAAGGGGGGAAAATGACAAAAATAAGTAACCACAGACAGTAATGGGGACGAAAAACAACGGGGGTAAAGCCCAGTCCAATCAGCGTGAAGCCCCTTTCCACAGCTCACCCCTGAGTAATGGGGTGTCTTTGGTGAAAGCGGGGGACCCAACACTTAAAAATATGGGTAAAAAAACAAAAACAAAACAAAAAGATGGGTAAACAGGAGGCAGAGAGACACGGCTCCCCGGAATGTCTCCACAGCTCCCTTTTCGGGAAGGTAACTGGAGAGAACCCCAAAGCAGAGAGGCCCCCTTAGCGCTCCCAAAACCCTAAGTCTGGCACAATCCCCCCTCACCGTTACCGTCACGCCCTGCCTGCCGGGACCAGAGTCACCGGAGTCCCCCAAGTCCCCGGCAGCTGCACTGCCGGGAGGACCCCGGGTGCCGGACGGCGTAGGGC